GAGGAGTTCGCAGTGTCCCCAGATGAGAAAAAGCTGGTGATCCCTGGCAGTGTGAAGGCGACGATTCGCCGTCTTCATGAAAACACAGGTCACAGAAGCAACACTCGCCTTGCTCGGGCTCTGACTTTGGCTGGAGCACCTTTGGAGGCGATCGTGGCAGCCAAGAGACATCAGTGTGCAGTCTGTCAAGAGAGGAAGCCCCCAAAAGTGAGACGACCAGCCTCTCTGCCGACGCCAAAAGATCTCGGCGACCAAGTTCATTTGGATCTGTTAGAGATTGAAGATGCCAGAGAGAAGTACTTTGTGGCTCATTGCACCGACTATGCCACGAGGTTCCAAGCAGCAGAGATTTTGGCAGACAAGTCAACTAAGGAAGTGATTCGCTTCATGGCAACTCGATGGCTTCCTACTTTTGGTGCCCCTCGTGTTTTGGTCTGCGATCAAGGCCGTGAATTCATCTCATGGGAAATGGAGGAATGGACCTCATCCATTTCGACCTTGCTGCACCACATCGCCGTACAAGCCCCATGGCAAAACGGTGTCGCAGAGAAGTCAGGAGGAATCCTGAAAACCTTGATGTCAGCCATTGTGCGTTCGAAGTCAGTGGTGACCAAAGAGGAGATGGACCTCGCTCTGGCTGAAGCCGTTGCGGCTTACAATGGTGATGTTGATGGTGAGTCAGGGACTTCACCATATCAGGCTGCGCTCGGACGACAACCCCGGATGATTGGTGACGTTCTTGGTGGAGTTCAACAGCGTTTGGCAGAACATGGACTCATTGAGTCCAAACCTAGTTTGGCCCGCCAGCTGGCAATGAGGGAGGTGGCCAAAGTAGCTATGACTCGACTCCACTTCTCACGTGGAATGAGAAAGGCGGAATTGGCACGATCTCGAGATGCCATCTTTGAGTCTTTGCCTGAACCTGGAAGCATTTGCTACTTCTACAGGCCCCTGCGGTTCAACACCAAGACCTCGGTGAGTCGCAAGCGTTTGACACTGAAGAGATGGCATGGACCTGCTTTGTTAGTGGCTTTGGAGGGCAATTCCAGCGCCTTCTTGTCCTACAAGGGCCAACTCACAAAATGCGCGCTTGAACATGTGCGCAAGGCTAGCTCCATGGAACAGATCGCAGCCGGGACTTGGCGTGAAGCCATTGAAGAAGCAGTCGAGGCAGCACGTCTCGATGTTCCACTTCCTGGTGCCGGAGAAGTTCAGTTGTTGCCGGAAGAGGATGGTGTGACAGAAGCTGATGATGAGTTGCGGAATCCTGCAACCCCTGCTTTCCTTCCTTCGTCGTCGGCTGGCATCCCCATAGAGGAGGGTGCTCCTTTGCGTGGTGAAGACCTGCCGCCTGTGGGTGCTCGTGAATTTCTTCCGATGATTGTTCCAGCGACTCCTCAGATCCCTTCACAAGTTGGGTCAACAGTGCCTTCGAGACGAACCAGTGATTTTGCCCAGGCCTCACCTTTTCCTGAAGCGGACCAACGCATGAGAGAAAGGAAGACGAGTGCACCTTTGCTGGGCGCTGCAATTGAAAGAGCTCAAAGGCTTGACCAAAGCCGTGAAGAGAGTGGTGGACAGAAACGACCTGCCGAACAAGATCCAGACTCCCTGAGAAAAGAAGGTGAAGAGTTTGCCCGTGGGCCTGATAGTGAACAGTTGCAAGTGAGCCGAGTCAACCCTGTTGATCATGAAGTACATGTTCTTTCCAAGGAACAGATCTTGGAGCGTTTAGCTGAACCAAATGTGCATCCTTTGAGGCAAGCTCAGCTTGGAGCCTGTTTGGATCGCATGGATCCCTTGGAGAGTGAAGTGAAAGACCATGGCAGCTGGGGTGGAAGATGGGATCTACCATCTCGTTCTGAATGGCAAGTTCATCAACATCTAGGAGTTCCTTGGCCTACTGGTGCACCTTCGACCCAGGAGGTAAATGCTGTTCAAGCCGCGCGCAAAGAGTTCCACTGGCGTTCCATGACCAGTGATGAGAAGATCGCCTTTGCAGAAGCCGCCAAGCAGGCTTGGGCAGTCTGGGAGGAGAACGATGCCATTGAGATCCTGACGCCTGAAGAGTCTGATGAAGTGAGAAAGAGGCTCAAAGCTTGCAAAGAAGACAGCCGCATACTCACTCCGCGGTATGTTTTCACTGATCGCCATGAAAGCTTGCGAACAGCTCAAAACCCTTTGCCGCTCAAAGCCCGTGCCAGAGTGATCGTGCCAGGATACAAGGATGTGTTCTCCTTCGCGTTGCGCAAAGATGCGCCTACTGGTTCCAGAATCTCCCAACACCTGCTCTTCATCTACACGGCGCACAACTCCAAAAGACATCCGGAGCCAAAGGATTGCTGGAGATTGATGAGTGCTGATGTGAAGTCTGCCTTCTTGAAGGGCGACGCATACATGGAGGGGACCAGGGAGTTGTTTTTGGAAAACGTGAAGGGTGATGATCCAAAGCTTCCTTTTGGCAACCAGTTGGCAAAGATTCGCAAGGGCGTGTTTGGTCTTGCTGATGCGCCAAGACAATGGTACCTCAAGCTCAACCAGTCGTTTTTGGAGGCCGGTTGGGAGAGAAGTGTCATTGACTATGCTTGTTGGATGCTGTGGTCAGAAGATCGAAAACAGCTGGAAGGGATGGTCATATCCCATGTTGATGATCTTTTGCTTGGTGGCAACTCCAAAGCTCAAGAGAGCCTGATGGCAATCGGTGCCAAGCTTGGATTCGGGACAGTGGAGTTCGACGACTTCGTCTTCTGTGGAAAACGAATCCGAATGGTGCCCTCTGGAGAGATTGAGTTGTCCATGGTGGAGTACCACAGCAATTTGAAGCCAGTGGCAGTTCCAACTTCTCGCAGGGCAATGCCACAAGCAGAATTGAGCGACAGTGAACGTCGCCAACTCAGAGCCATTTTAGGTTCTTTGCAATGGTTGGTAGCCCAGCTGAGATTCGACCAAGCCTATGCCCTCAGCACACTCCAAGGTGAGAAACCATGTGTAGCCACGTTGACAAAGGCAAACCTCCTAGTGAAAGAGTTCAAACGGCGGAGCGACTTCAAGCTGGTTTTCCGTGACCTTCCTTTGGAAAAGGCAGGGATCCTTGTGATTTCGGACGCCTCCTTGGGAAATACCACAAAGTCCGGTGGTGTTGAAGGTCAAGAGAAGTTGTACAGCCAGAGCTCCTACTTCATTTTGGTTTGTGATGAAAACCTTCTTCAAGGACGAGAAGGGTGGTTCAATGTTTTGGACGCACGAAGTCATCGACTTCCCAGAGTCTGTCGATCGACGTACAGCTCTGAAACCCTTGGTTTGGAGGAGGCAATGGACGCTGGTGTTTTCTGTCGTGGATGTTTCAGCGTGCTGGCTGGTCTTCCGATGGAGCGGAGAGACGCTCATAAAGTCATGGAGGTGATCCCGATGACGGCAATTACAGATGCCAAGGACACTTTCGACAGAGGAAACAGTGACACCAACACGTATGGAGCGCAGAAGTCACTCGCCTTCTCAGTAGCCTGGATCAGGGCTACCCTTGGAGGAGCCAACACCTCACTCAAGTGGACGGCGACAGCCAACATGTGGGTTGACGCAGGTACCAAGGAAATGCCACTTGACCACCTGCACAAAATCCTAGATTGTGGACGATGGAGCTATGTGTTTAATGCCAACTACGTGAAACAGCCCAAGAAGAAGAAGATCACTGATGCTGCAGTGAAAGGGCCGTTGCCTGGTGTTCCCCTGGAAGGCAAAATGCCAATTCTCCCGTTCCTGCTGAATGTTTGTAGGAATCCCGGGTGGCATCAGAAATCGGGTTTGGTAGTTCACGTCGCTTATGGAGCGAAATCCTTTCGAGTTCCCGATGCTAGGTACAGTGTTTGGCGTTTTCCCCTCCGAAGTACATATGGAAGATTTGACCTTGAAGATGGTCGCTCGGAGTGGAGGGTTTTGGAGTCGAAAGAGGATTTGACTCTACTCGGAAAGAAGCAGGAGCTTCTTGGTTGTGTGGCAGATTGTTTGGTGAGCGTTTTCCAGTCTCGGATCAAGAAAGAAAAGATATCTACTGAAGAAGCGAACTTGTTCGATCGGCATTGATCCGGACTGAGAGAGCGTCGTGTTTACCCGATGGCATTTAGGCGCCTCAAGCCTTAGGTTACGCATCCGCCTCGGTGGAAAACGGCTGACGGCAGCGACTGCTCGCTGCTTTGTTTCAGGGGTATATTGCATAATATGGCATATATGGCATTCCCAGTAGTGTCTGGGATTGATGTGCAAGAGTGTCGTATTCACCTTCAACGGCCTTTTCCCGACGTTCCGTGAGGTTCCTGGGAACTCTGCAGCGACACCAACGAATTGGGCTGTCTGAGGGTATCGACCGAACGACCCATTTTGATGTTGATCAAACACCTTCCATAAGCCATTCTGAGTCGTGGTATTTATACATATGAGACTTCTGACCAATTCTGCGGGGCTCATGACATGCAACACGCCAAGAACCAGGCCTCCCCCCCAAACCATCCAAAACTCCTGGTTGTCCCTAGTAAGAAGCCATGGGTTTCTACCAGGCCCCCCAGTCGGGGTGGTTAATGGATACCCCTCAACCTCGATACGGAGCTATAATTAGACACCCCAAACACCCGGAGGCCCTGGTATGTGTGAATACCTTTATGGGTTCATGGGAAACCGGTCGGGCCACTGGTCGAGGTGCTGGTCGGGCCGCCGATCGCTCTTCCGCGGTGCCGAAACCGTTGCGGAGCGGCGCAAGCAATGCGTTCGGCATGGCGTGGGTGAGGCGTGAGTCTCGGTCACTGAAGAAAACCAAGTGCTTAATATATTGAAGTTCATATATGGTAAGTGAAGGTGCGTGAGTCTTCACCGCACCCAAATGCATGAATTCAGTGATGATGATGCAGTGTCTCGTGTCTCAGTTTATGCCCCCCAAAACAAAACCACATATCACATGGTCCTTTGAAAGAGATCACATTCGTCCTTTGAAAGAGTGGTTCCAGCTGCAGGACATGGATCTGGGCGTCACCTTCACCGGCGACCACTCGCCGACCAAGGCGGGCGCCGCGGCGGCGTCCGACGCCGCCGCGGCGGTGCAGCCCGGCGCGGCCGCCAGCAGCTGGATGGATCAGATGAGGGACCGGAAGGGCAGACGGAGGGAGGGGAGGGGAGGGCTTGGGGGTTGGTTGACCCAAGGGGAAGTCGAGAGAACGGAAGGGACATGAAGGGAAGGGACATTCTACCCACACCCTTTAGAGGTTGGAGCTTTGCCTCCAAGTACTACTCCCTCTATATGTCCTTCTCCACTTAAACAATCGCTTCTTTCTCGAGCTCGTCGTATGTGACCGCTACACTGTTTGGGGTCTCTTGCCGGGATAATATGTTTCAAGTAGATGGCACCAACTCAACTGGGGTCCATATAAGCCACCAAAACTTGGGGGCCAAGGTCCGTGCCCTCGAACCTCGGCCCACACTCCATGGGACTGCCATATATGCCGATCAGTTGGGGTGTTTTGGGGGGGTCAATGTAGGCATATATGGCAGTCCCATGGAGTGTCTGGGATATGCTTGTCTGGTTTTTTTCGTTTGGTGCGGCAGGATGGCTTCCACCAGGGCTTCAACAGCGTGAGCGAGAAGACCATGCAAGGTGCCGACCGGCCGCTGCCATCCGTGGGGCGAGGCGACGTGAAGGTGGAGACACCGCAGGAACCGCGCAGGATGGGGAGGTCAAGGCAAGTTCCAGGTGGTGTTGGGCTGCAACATGTGCAGCTAGGGTGTGTAAGCAAGCAACACTGACTAATTAATCATCTACCAGGCCATCATCTACCTGTTTTTACGGATCAGGTGATTTTGTTATTTGTTTTATGGCAAAAATACCCATATACTTGGGGGATATATATATATATGCTTTTTGTCATGGGTTTCCGGGGAACAACGCAAATCTAAGTCCAGTTCACGGAGGTTCCGTTGTTCACAAGGAAACATGAACCAAACTCGGCCAGAAGCCGATGGAAGCTGATGCTTGATGCACGAGCCCCACTGGTTCCAAATCTCACCTATTTCGAACAAAGTTCATAAACATTCATAAACCAATTGTTGGGGATCTTGAAGGTGAACAAGGTCAATGTTTCCATGGCATTTGCAGGTGACTCTTGATTATCTAGTGATGTGAGGCCTCTAGTGATGTGAGGCCAGATAAATTATCAGAAGCAAAAAATATCAGGTTCTTCAGCAACCAAGTGAACCAAACAAACAAAAAGACAGGCCACCGATGTGTCTTTTTGTCAGATGGTTTTTGGTGATCTCCTCATTCTACTACGCAACGATTTGAAGCTCAAGTCCAAACGTGTTCCCTCCTTCATGATGCACGTCCATGTTGCCATATGATGGAGCACCAGAAGTATAGTAGAATGGAATAGACTGGACACCTGGTGTTGTTCTGCAATCACTGCAGAACCTTTCGAATTCAGGCGGTGGCTACATGACTAGGTTACCAGGCCACGACTGATCGCTCCGCACACGGACCGACCGCGCGCATCGCGGATCGCGGATCGATCAGCTCCAGGCTACGAGGCGGCCAAAACGATGATCAACGGCCCTGAGACACAGAGCTGGACCCAGCCCTTTTGGCTGCAGAGAGTGAGAATCCCCAGAGGACCACCATATGGAACCCCACAAAAACAATGCTCTGAACCACCTGAGTCAGACTGAGATATCCTTTGCCTTTCAAGCACAACAGTGTTTTTTCTTTGACTGAGATCTATATATGCCTGAGAATTCTGTGACTTGGTCATGAAGATGTGTTTCCATGTTTGTTCGGACATTCCAGCAGAGGTTGAAGAACCCGAACGTTCGACTATCTTATAGGTACCCCGGGTTTTCCGGGTCTTATTGAAGATTTACGGTACCCCTGGCTACCTCTGTTGGTTTGCTTGGTGTTCAGACAATACCAGTCGACATGTGGGCATCGTCCACTCCTTGGTGCTTGCATGGCTTTGAGGAGACGGGACGTGGACGCGCGGACCCTCCCCTCGTTGCGCGGACGCACGGACGCACGGACCCTCGTACACACATACATACAGACGGGACAGGACATACACATACACCTCATTCAAATTCCCTATGCCCGTTAGGGCTCCGTTTTCGTACCTTCGTTTCGGTTCGGTGGGACTGGGGTGAGTGCTGCCGGGTCCAGTCACACCGAACCGTTTCGGAGGTACGAAAACGGAGCCCAAACGGGATCAGAATCCGGGCCCAGCCTAAAGTGGTTCCAGCCCCGGAACCCCGGTCCGACCGCTGCGGACAGCCCGTTCGGATGCCCTATAGGTTGGTTTAAAGAAAATGCACCAAAAAGGGATCCAGTCGTACCGAACCCTAGTTACGGTGAGGACGGAGACACCATGATGTAGGCGCCATGGGTCTGGGCCCAGTCGTACCGAACCGGGTCGGTTCGGTACGACAACGGATCCCGGAAAGACGAGCGAGCTGATCGTGTTCCACGAGTGTCGAGGATGCGCATCGTGGTTCGCGCACCGGTTTCGTTGGACAAAGATCGGCCGTGATTTGGTGCAGCCAAGAAGCCATAGGGTCCAGGTACCTTCTGAGGATGGTCGAACGGAGGTGAGTTCGTGCTTCCAAGGACATCCTCAGGATGGTCGTGGACCCTTAGGGGAAGCAAAGAGATCGTCATGCGAGTCATGCGCGCAAGCCACGTAGCGACGTGTTCACCATGTGTTTTGGACGAGCCTTTGATTAAATCGTTGGATGTTTGGGGAGGTTGGATTCTCTTCGTTCAGATCCTCCGAATGCCTACGAATGCCTACGGCATCTATATATACTTGTTTGGGTGCAAGGACACCCAGACACGACCTGTTTGGGACTGGAACATGTACCGACTCATAGGGATGGCTCAAAACCAGGTAGGTCAACCTGTCGGTTTGCCTATCCTGCCATGACCCAGGAGCCACATTCACCCCATCCATGGGTCTGGCAGCCATTTGCATCCATTGGACCTGGGGTCGATGTAGGCTAGGCATATATATGATGCATATATTATATATACCAGTCCCATGGACTGTGTGAGTATGCCAGTCCCATGGATGGTTTGGTTCTACCGCCAGGACCTTGGGGGTTCTCCCATGGGTCCAAAGCCTCCTCGCCTCATGGTCCAAAGCCTCACGAGCCTTCTCCGCCTCCTCCGAGCTGATCCGTTAAATGGTTCTTAAGAGGAACACGTCGTGTAGGTCCAAAAACACATGTATAAGTCAATCTACCAAAAAAAAAGGATCCCAAGGGGTGCAAATTGGTACCTACACGGTGCAGATTCCCATTGATGGGCAATGGATTCCCATGCAGCAATCAGTATTATCCTGCATGATAGCTGATCGCAGATGTTTGAATCGCAGTTATCATGTTTATAATGGATCAGATGGCACAACTCTTAGAAGTAAGAAGCCCCGGGAGAACTCTATTACAGAAAAATCTTTGACTCAACTGAAAGCACAGGCAAACTTATAGAAAGAAGTCTTCTTCTTTGCCTGAGGATCTATAGATCCACCCCGCTTTGCATCGAACCTGTTCACCCGGTTTTTTCCGGGTTCCACGGCAGTTCTTCTTTCCCGCCGGAACCCGCTTTCTTCTTCACCGCCGTAGCGGTCAGGTCGCTGAAGGATGGTGTCTTGGCGGTCTGAGTGGGCGAAACGAATCCCCAACGAAACGAGGGTCGAAACGAAGTCTGGACGGGTTGAAATCATGGGGCATGTCTCATGGTCCTCTCATCATGAGAGGACATGTCGCGACATTTCATGACGTTTCATGGTCGTTTTCTTGAGGAAGGCGTCAGGTTTTCCCATTCGCCCACTTGAAGTCTGAATGGGTTTGGAGAATCCTCCAAGAAAAGATCCCATCTCGTCCGTCGTTGACGTGAAAAAGCGCAACGGACCAAGCGAACGGAGTCGTCGCGTCGTCGAGTGTACCGGAAAACGCACGTCGTCGAGTGGTCGTGAAGAACCACGTGTGCTCCATGCCGTCGACGTCGACGTCTCTAGGTCGCAGTGAACAATACTTATCACTTACAGTCGTTTCAGAGTAGATCGCACAGACCTCAAGATGTCCTGACCACACGGGGTTCATATAAACCACCGACCTTGGGGTCTGTGCCATTGGTCCTCTCAATCCAGTATATCACATTTTATCTGTTTTAGAGATGCAGACCTGCAACTTCACCATGACCATCCACTGGGCCCTGGGTCCATACCCAAATGTTGTCTCTCAACCTGCTGCGTCCCTGGCCCACGGTGTGAATCTCCCTGGAAGAGACCCACATGAAACCTATAGAACCACGGCATTTGTGAAGCATCTGTCTTCCGGTCCAACGCTTCCGGGATGGGTGCCATGTGCGTCCCTTCTCGGATTCCCAATCCGTCCCCCTGTTAAGACCTCCATCTGAGACCTTGGCTGGCAGGGCGGTTCACAGGACGAGGACGCGTCCGACTCAAGGGCGGACTGGTCGGTCGGGCTTTTTCGCCAACGATCATGGATGATCATGGGCTCGGTTGGACCAACGGGAAATTCATGTGATGATCCGCTGCCAGCTTCTTCAGTTCGTGACCCAACTTGAAGGTTCCTATATATATAAGTGACCGGAGTCCGGAGGCTTGAGACCATGACCGAACCAACCAGGTGATCAAGTTCGGTCACGTACTGAAGAACCAGGTGGAACCTTTTCAGAGTTGATCCAGCTTTCTTTTGGCATGGCGAAAGGCACAAATCGAAGCAGATAGAACTACTGCCACGGCGTTTGATGTTGCTTTTTGGGGGTTGGGTTTTCCCGAACCTGCGTGGGTAGTACAATAGTAATCAGTCGTAGGCAGTGGGCGTGCCAGTTTCCCCCCACAGGAAAACCGTCTCGGCACGTGCGTCCGAGGCTTCAATCAGGGTGTGAGCACTGTGTCCGAGAAGACCTCCCAAACCTATACGGCGGCGAAGGCGTCGACTGTGTCCGAGAACGGAAAGAGTGTTGACCGTGTGGCGACCTTGTTGGAGAACCAGAAATGAAGGAGCTAAACATGGCAGTGGGATGACTTCCAATTACTTGCTATATACTCGTATAAGGTATACTATAATATGTATTAGTTAGTCTAGTTTTGTGTAGACACCTTGTCGTACTGCAGTGTTTGCAGGTTGGGCAGAGCCATAGATCACAAGCATAGGACGGTGCCAACGTGACCCATGAAGCATACCAAGTTCACCTCACTTGGCTTGGACTTTTGGACCTGTGATCCGGTCGGGTGACCAACGAGATGGGCCAAATGGGGAAGACGCAAAAACACTGCAAAGCATCACTGGTGAAGATTCAAGATATTTCAAGATCATTCAACTCACAAAAACTCCAAATGTCGTTACCTATAAAGATAATTGTGTATTATATAGTGGTTATACATTATATAAGCTTTATATAAGCTCTAATTCTGGTTGATGTCCGAGGTCCTGCGCTCGCATTTTCGGGCTTTGGGTGGGCCCAGATGCTTTCTCAAATTTGGGGTGAAGATTTGATAAGCTGATGTCCTTGATGTTCTAGGCTTTCCACTCGCATTTGGTGGTTGGGGGGCCCAGATTCTGCATTGACATTGAGTGAATGGTGCCCGGATGAATGTTTGCGTACCTCAGGAGTACATGGCTGGAAGTGGCAGCGGTGCGGCGTCCGGTGCGGCGTCCTCCACCACCGACACCCAGCAGCTTGGATTCGCAGCTGGTTCGATCGAGACATGGGACTAAAGGAAGCGGAGCAGCAGGTTCCGATGGTGAATGGCCCAGAGTTGACCTTAATGATGTAGAAACCCTAGTAGCAATGGCCTCCACCCTAGCAGCGATGGCCTCCGCCTCAATTCTGCTCCAAACGCATCTCCTGGACCGCGCGCGACCAGGAGGGAATCGAACCCGAGACCGTGACCGTGTTGGTTTTTCCGCGCGGCTCGGACCGGTGCCCTGGAAGTCCTATGAAGCAAACGAAGATGATGGAAACCATTTGGCAATTCGATAGAGTTTAAGCCAAAGGTTCCGGGGAGGGTAGGGGCGATATATCCGCGACTGACAGTCGTGCTTTTCAGAGTGACTTTCCCTGTGCTGCCTGGCCATGTGCTGCGGGATGCGTGTTTTCTTCCCAACCCAGAACTACCCACGGCCACGTCGTTTGGAGCCCTATCACTCTCCGGTGTTCGTCCTCGCTTCGACTCGTCGGACGGGAAGACCGGGTGCTCAGGGAAGTCGTCGCCAGCTGGGCCGAGCGTTTCCAGATGCTCGGCGCGAAGATCCGTGGAGTGGAGATCGCCAAGGGGTGGATTTTGCCGAATGGTAAGAACTCCAGAGGAGTGGAAAGTGGGTGGGAAAGCGTCCTCAAGGACTTCCGAAGGAGAACATTTTTCTTGCAATCTGAATCTTTGCGAAGCAAACAAGTTTCAGAGATATTCCCTGATACGAGGAGCAGTACGAAGAGCTTGTTTGCCGGATGCGCGATGCGGGAAATATGCTGAAATATGGTCAGTCATGATATGTCATGATTTCATATTATGATCATATCTCGGATGGAAGTGGTGTACGAGGGATTGATTCCATAGATTGTGTTTGGACACCGTTCTTCTGAATGGTTGATTTGTTTTGTCCGACCTGCACCCTCTGTAGGCTAGGCAAAAGTGTGTTATTGATGCCTCGCCCATACTCCCTGAGAAACAGTCAAAATCAGTTCTTTTACTCCTCCAAACCAAATGGTTGAGGTGGCATCTCCACCATAATTGACATGTTTTTGAAATACCCAAATCATTCCCAAACTCTGCACTGGTAAAGAAAAATGGTGACCGATGTTTCTCACCCTCGTCTTCGCGTCGCGTCGCGTTGCTGAGGAGCAACTTCACCATGTGCCTCTCAACGGTGCAAGCGACCTGGATCTGACCAACGGTTCAGGGAGCATGGCACCGGTCACAGTACTTGTTTGGTTTTTATGTTGAAAACAAAGCTTTAGCCTAAATGAACCTCTTAAGCTGGTTATGTTATATTGACAGGTTGCCCACTGAATGTTGTCCGATGGTTTGGCCAAATGGGTTTGTGTGTCCATGGTGCTCCATGTTGATGGGTCTCTTCCGTTCTTGTTCCCGGGCCCAATCAAACTTTGCCGCAGTGAAGGTTAAGTGCTTCGGTTGGCCGAAGTCAGGGAAGTCAGACTGATGGCGTGTTGATTGGTCGTTGAGCAAATTGGTACTAGAACAGCGGGATGCTTTAAAGTTGAAGCATGGACAACATCCAGTGGCGCCCCAGGGCCTCTCTAGTCCAAGATTCATGTTTGAACACTTGGCGTTACATGAATGATCCCAGCCTACCGGGGACATTCATCATAGAGAGAGCTGTTTACAAGCCATGGATGTTTTCTTGGGTGAGCAGATGAAGTATATAGGAGGCCCCCAATTTGGTTGTGACCTGTTTTGTTTGCAACGCGTGGTGCATGCAGGCTGCAACGTAGGATGACAAAGCAAACACTTGACCTGTGGAACCAAATATCAACCCTCTAAAAACCACTGGAGTCTCCTTTGGTGGAACCATCAACACGTTTGACGAAAGGATCTTCCTGCCACCGGCTCCCCAAGTCGTTTGACCGGTCCAGCGGTCCTTCCACCACAGCGAGCCGCCTTCGTCGGCCGAGGAGAAGACCGCACAAGGCTACGAGGCGACCATGGAGCTGGTCGTGGGCAAGAAGTGCCGTGGCGACGGGAAACGCGGTTTAACGGCACCGCACGTCTGATCGATCCTTTCCGTGGATGTCTTCCGCGTTGCGTTAGTTGAGTTTAAATGGGAACAGCGAGTGAAAAACTTGGAGAGTGAGCCATGATGAGCCATGCGAGTAGGGGAAAAGGTTGCAAATCACTCCTGCCACCGTGCCCTCCTGATCGTATCAAGTCTTATCACGTCTTTGCTTCGCGTGTCCTCGACGCCTCTTATGCTTGTTATAGAACTTGAAGGGTACACGTTCCTGCAAGCTTAAACTGTCTCACTTCCTGTCATTTGTAATTATCAAGCTCCAATTTGCATCAAAAAGTAATGTCGGATTTGTGCACGATTATCTTTGCTGAGGTGGCAGGTCGTTGGCTGTTGGCATGTTACCTTTTTGTTTTGTATAATTGTTTGTCAACATGTTCGATCCTGTTCGTATGTCCCCACACACTCTACTTTACTAGCTACTTAGCTGGATGAGTAGGGCACACAAACATGTTGACCCATCTCTCATGGTTTATGTGAGGGCAAACTCGAAGGGTTGCCCAAGATTGACCAATTGTTGGTGTCTTTTCCGTCGATTGAGTGGACAACGAACCCCATTGAAACCCCCGCAGTTTCCCACAACAGTCTGACTCAGACTCACGCGTGCCGCCGCGTGCCGCCCAGTGATCAACCCTTGGCAGAGTCTCAAGTGGAGGCACAGGGAGGGCGTTTTCGAGGGCGCGCCAATGGATTGCTCTTCTTGATGTGGATATGTGCAAAGTTAACAAAGCATCCCCTTATGCAAAAATATCGCTGCGCATGGTCTATTCTATGCTGCGCAGACTCGCCTCTTTCCTCAACCTGTTGCCATGGACGGTGGGGGACTCTCGGTCGTCATTCACCTACGGGTCGGATGGGCGGATGGAGCAGCGGTCGATCGATGTGCTGCCGTGCCAACACATGGACGGCCGGCCGAATGGTTCATAAGCAACACATGCCAACGTCCATGTGGGCTGATGAAATGACCCCGCGCTTAGCAGTTTAGTATTGAGTTCTTTTCAATACCCTATGTTTGGACATCAACCAAACACATGGTGTGTCCAGGATGTGTCCCCTGTAACTCTCCGGTTTTGGAGGCTGACGCAATGGTTGGAGCAGGGGTCCTCCGTCTTCAGGTTTTTGGGAGGTCGAAAGTGACTTTCCAGGACACGGGTTCAACCAAGCCAAGAGACACCAAAAGGCACGCTGCACGAGTGCAGCGGTCCTACTTCAACTCCTCAGGATTGGTGTTTCGCGAAGACGGAGGAATACCCCGTTGATTTGCCTTGCCAAATGTGCAATGACTTGGACAATTTGAGACCATGAGACTACGCATGAGAGATCTTCTTTCCCATCATGTTTTAGCTCACACTGCTCGTCAAACTCCAATTCTCTCTTCAGATTCCCAAAACAATGCCCAACCCACCCCCTTTTGCAATTGGCAACCCTTGAAAACCGCCACACGACCGCCTCGCCCGCCTCTCCCGCCCGTCCCCCGCGAGATCGCTGCCCACCGCCGCTGCCAGGACGCCCTGGCCTCGGCGCAAGCCGCCGGCGAGGCTGTGGCCACCGAGACCTCCCAGGCGGCGAAGACCGCCGGACGCACGGCCACGAAGCGGAGCGCCAGCGGAGGAGGGTGGCCATGGTTGGGCGGCCAAGGGCGAAGGAGAGGGGGGTATAGGTACGTAGTAGGTGAGACGTTTTTTGGGGGGGGGAATGTCGAGGTCAGTAGGGGCCATGGTTTTTCAGATGTGTTCATGTGTTTTCTGTCGTTTTGTCAGAAGGATAGTGTATAGGACCTTGATCGAGATCTGCAGAACAGGAGTTCCAAAACGTAGTGTTGAGTCTCCAAACATGTGAATGAATGGATGTGACAGAGGCACCCCATGTATACACTCCAATTAGCATCCAGACATCGAAATGCTGAGAGTTGTTGTCAACATCGACAGACCACTGGACCAGCGGTTGGAAAAAAGCAACAGCTCCTGTCCTCAAAGAGCTTGAAGCAATTCAGGGACCCAAAAGCTGATCCCTAGCGCTCCAAGTACCTTCTGAGGTTCGGTGGGACTGGGGTGGGTGCCATTGCCGGGTCCAGTCACGCCTAACCTGGAGCGAAGCTACGACTGGAGCCCCAAACGGGCATGAAGATGCGACGTCCATCTGCGGATTCCATCTTCTCCGGTGGATCCCTTCGCCATCCCTTCGCCATCGGTGGTGCTCCGATGCGACCTTCACCGAGGAAGTGAGACGGAGAAGGCGCTCGAGACCAGCAAGGGAATGATGCAGGAAGGCGGGGGGCGAGAGTGCTGAGTGCTGAGACCTCCTTGGATGTGTTGGATGATCCGTTTTGGGGGGGATCTGTTTGGGTTGGAGATAGGAGGTTGCGTGACGCTGCGTGGTATATATGAGATAAAAGGTGAACTGTAGTAGGTGGACGTTGAGGTTGGCTACTGTTACTCAAGAGTCACGATAAAATTCATATACCAGCAGTCACATGGTCGGGGTGGTAGCGTGAGTAGATGTTCTGAGCACCCCTAACCTCCATGGATCGCACCCCGTCGAACGTGACTGCTGGTATTATTATGTGCGTTGGGGTGATAAGTCGATCGTAGTAGCTAAGAGTGAGACACAGCCCAGACACTCCATGTCTGTCGGACTGCCTTCCCAGAGGTCGACCCCTCTGGCAGTCACCCCTGGCCGTTTTGAAGGCAGTCCCATGGAGGCAGTGAGACCAGAGGTAGCCGGATTTGTTGCCAGAGAATCCAGGACCCGACCCGTTCGGTGAAGGTTTGGTTCGTCGGGTCGCCCCTGCGGCAGCTGCGTTCGTCCAAACCCTCCAGAAGTGCTCGGGTCCAATGATTCTTAGCCTATAGAGACTACCCAGACGCTCATGGGCCCTCATATGGAGGGGTCTGGGGTCTCAAACCCGTAGGTTTTGAGGGACCAAGGGCTGTTTGGAGCGTCTGGGTAGAGACCTTAATGAACGTGCTTGGTCAGCCACGTGACCGGGCTGCGCCGCTTCGCCTCCGGCTTCGCTTCGCTTCTCGTCCGTAGCCGTTCCGGTGTGGCGAAAGCGAAGGGCTTCTCTTCGAGGGCGTGGGCGGCTCGATGGTTGGACCGTTACTGTTTCCACCCCAACACATTCCAAGTGCGCTGACTCCGTCACTTCCGTGCCGTTCTTTCTCGTGCCCTTTCACTGTGGACGTCCATGATGGATGAACCTGTGACTTGAAGTGACTTAAGTGTGTCCCAGTAAACCTGTCCCAGACACGACACGTCTGGGACTGCCAGGGCGGACTGCCTTCAAAACGGCCAGGGCTGGTGCCAGAGGGGTCGACCTCTGGGGCGGCAGTCCTATGGCAGTCCCCTGTGTCGTGTTTGGGATATGGTCCAACTTCTACCACAGCTCATGGTTGACAGTGGGCCATCAGAGCTGAGCTCTGGCACTGGCACCCCGAAAGTTGCACCACCAATCTTCCAAGACAGGTTAAGTGACCGTAAATAGGACCCGGAAAACCTGGGGTATTCATGGTATGGGATAGTCGAACGTTCGGGTCATTCAACAACTTCTGTTGCTTGGGCATGGTGCCATCGAACCTCTGCCCCAAACAGACGACCGTCTTCACCACGCCAGGCGCCGACCGTGCCGCAGCCGCCCTGAAGCCGAAGAGCGTCAAGGTGGGTGGCGCCTGAAGCACCGCAGGCGTGGTGGGCGGCGTCCGGTGGTATCCGCCGCGCCGGGTCTGCTTCCCGCGAGGGTTGGACTGAAGAAGCATGGATGATCTTCAGTCTCTATGACCTTAACCTATACTGCCTATACTCGACTTGGATAGATACACAAATATTGAAAGCACGTCACGTGCGACTTTTTTCGTGGTCGGAATATGCTGGCCTCTACTATCGCCTTGATTGACCCAAGTTTTGCTACGGAGCTCATACACATATTGACATATAATCGATAGGTAGATAGATGGATGGATGAATCGACAGATTAGATCAGATCGGATTAGATTAGGTTAGATAGAGAGATAGAGATCGAGATAGATGGATTGCACATGTAAATACATGTATACTATGTATTCCTGTTGTTCACACTGGTCTAACTGTCACCCATCTGTCACCCTAGTCTACTCCTATCAGGCGTGACCCAGCTGCACCAGGTGTGAAGGTCTGGTCGTTCAGCCTGCGCGGTGTCGGGGCGCAGGCTGAGTCTCCAGTGTATTGGAACTTATACAGAAGTCGCCATCGATGGCTATGGCGCTTTGCAGTTCCTCGGCATTTCAAGAAGCTACTCATGAGGCATCTATCGTCAGGTGTGAGATGAATGAGACGAAGGAAGGACTTGACAGGTTTTCCCAAATACCTAAGATCTTCCAACTATGCAACATGTCCACCGAACTTGACTGGCTTCCAAATTGCCATCCTGTTCTCCACCAAACTCTTTGACTGGGCGGCCTAAGCTCCCCCCCAGCGGGAGATGGCTCGTGCAGCGAAGTGCTGCTCTTCTTGGCTCCAACGTTTGGGGAGGTTTTGCAAAGACGGAGCAACGTTTGACGGATCGCTCCCCTAGGGATCCAGTCGTGCTGAACCTCAGAAGGTACGACTGGACCCGATAATGGCACCTACATAGCAGTGTCGAACACATCACCGTACCTGACAAGGTACGACTGGATCCCTAGACCTATACAAAGACGGAGCAACGTTTGGAGTGTCAGCTGCCATACGTGATCTAAGTCATCCAATGTATGCAATATACTATCGTAAACCCGTTGAAGTTGAACCTAGATTGGCTACTGAAAGTTTGCTTTGGGCGGGTGGTCTTTCTTCCTGCCAGGTCTCCTCAAATGGTTGAAGCAGCGATCCTTTAAGAAAATGAACACTTGGGAACGCCACATCCAGCCAATGGCTCCATGATTTGCATCCCACGGAGTCCGAACTTCACCATCTACCTTGCCGCAGCATTAGCTGGACCTTTTGGGCGTAAGAATGTGGTAGTCATAGTTCTGAACAATGGACAATGACAAATACTATAAACCGATGTCCACTGGAACATGGAAGATGTCCAAAGCAAATTTGCCAATGGCACTCACTTTTGGGGGAGGATCCTCCCAGATTCAGCTTCTCTCTATTGGACGACTTCTGACCTTCCACTCGTGACCTCGGATTGGTCGGTTCGTATCTCAAGACCTGTTCGTCACCCCAGCCACGAAGATCTCCAGGCACCGTCGGAAGGCCCCCGGAGCATCTGATTTTGCTCCTCCGCCGTTTGTTCTTCCCAGGTTCGACGAGCTCGAGCAAATTCACAGCCGCCACTCATGTGGCATTTTGGCAACAGTTTCCTTGACCAGAGAGTACTCCGGGCGGTTTCATGTCCGTTTACAGATCTCCATCCTCTGTGTTTTGTCGTGTTTCTTCCCGGAAATGACCTCTATATATATGTGTCCCGACATGATGGATGGTTCAACCCCGGCCCCAACAAAGCGGAAGCTACAGCAGGAGCTTCCGCTTCCAGCAAAGTTGGCTAGCCGATCGATTGGTGGTACCGCCCATTCCCATGCACACGAAAACGGTCAAAGATGGTCAACGCGTGAGCAAGATAGACCTTTTCTGATCCTTTCTTTCAGGTAGACCGCCTTGCTGGGTTTCGGTTTCGACCGCCCCTCTGGTGCTTGAGCTGTTAGGGGTGTGTTCTATGGTGTGTGGCTTCCCCACCACTTTTGTAGGAAGGCCATGAAGACTGTCAAGAGTTCAATGTGGTTTGTGCTTGGTGTTGTGACACACAAACAATAACTTAAGTACTCTGAGGCATTCCATGGCCACCTTCCGCGAGGACCGAAAGAAACACATGGGGCTCACAAACTGTGCACGGGTTGGGTCAAGAGCCTACGTAAATCAGGCCGAAATCTCACTGCTGGTTGAAGAAAAACTGCACGGTCTTACCGTGCCAAGACATGGCAAAGACATGGGTGGTGTCTATAGAATTCCAACAGAGGTTGTTGAATGACCCGAGTGCGTTCGACTATCCCAGGCGGACTGGGATACCCCTTTGGTTTTCCGTGGTCCAACCTGGTCCCGGGAGACCTGGCTACCTCTCTTGGTTCCGTGGCGGTCTGCCTCATGTGCTGGTCCCTTGCGCTGGTGTTGACCGCGAACGAACTCCGTGGTTTTCCCGTGTTTTGGCCGTCGGGTCCGACGAACGAACGCCTGGTGGACGATCTGGTTGAGCCCTTCTGGCAGAAGTCCAGCTTAATCACCCCTTCCAGTGGGGAGCACAGCGGCAGGGAGCTAGCGACTGCCGTGTTGGCTGGTCTTTGACTCAAGTGAGCAGCAAGGAATGGGATCTTTGGAGCATTTCAGCATGGAACCAGAGGATTTGGATGCGCAAGACGTTCCCCCCCCCAAAGAATGGCGTCACACCGGGAATGGCCAAATCTCCAGCCTTTTGATATGCAGCTGAGCAAAAGGAGGCAAGTGTGTGTGTGTTCAGAGTATTCCATGAGTTCCTGGCATATCGTATACACCCACAGAAGACTTTCGGACACGTTTGGATTTTGGTCGGATGGTTGCTGCCATATGCTGCAAAAGTGGAAGAAACCTCGTTGCCCACATGACCAGGCAACTGGCGTATGCAGTCCAAGATGCCTGAAGATGCACCAAACATGACCAGTTTGTAGTTGATTACAGTTCTAAGATGTTGCAAGAAGTGTTGGGCTGAATATTCCCTGCACGTCTTGCACTGTGGTTCTCCCATGTCGATTTAAAACTCATTGTGTAATATATAAAAGAACACGTCCAATGGCACATCAGCACGAGCCAAACAAAATCACTGCGAGCACCAGCCAAGCGGCCCACTTCGCCTCGCCCCTGGCATGGTGCACTTAATGCCTCGCAGTGTTGACAAAAAAGAGTGCACATCCAACAGAATGATGGAGAAGCGGTGATGGTGCTTGGAAACGAGGTGAAGTTGCGTGAGTTGCACTTGGAAACACGTGCTGTTTCTTTACAAGTGCATCCAGATGGTAAACATCCAGGGAGTTCGGCAGTTCGGTACGGGGGACTATGCCTATGCTTTTGCACCTTTAGAGGTTATATAAGGGGTGTCCATGAAGCACCCCGACCATGGGTCCTGGTTGCTTGTGAGATTGCTTGCACTGGGGTTCTGGTTAGGTGATGGCCGTGTGGGCAGAGGTGATGGCAGTGTGGGGCGAGTCCTACTTCCTCTTCATGGGGTTGCTGAAGATGAGTCTTTTCCTATTGCAGCCAATCCCTTAATTCAGTGGGTTTCAGAGTACATGGCATCATCCCCAAGTTTGGTGGCTTATATGAACCCCTAGAAAAAAGAAGAAGATTACATCTTTGGGGGGTGTGCAGAGGGACCTTCACATCGGCGGGACCGGGACCACTTGGATGACCAAGCACTTCGACTCGGAAACCCCCCCAAAAACCACGAGTGGCCAGTAATTAGAGCATGCGGCCCAGTGGGGAGCATGAAAAATGCTTGGGTCAGTTAAGGATGAGAATAAATACACATGAATTTACAAAACGTCCGTGGTCCCTAGGCCCTAGCTAGCTGACCCGAGAACCACTTTTGGTGAATGACAACGACAAAGTCCGTGAAAGCCACGGCTACTGTGCGCAGATGCCTGGTCAGCTCGCGAAGAAGGAAGAGATCATCGTGCTTTTGAGACAGGCGGGAGTTCAATCCAAGCGGTGTTGCAGTCCCAAACAAATATATGTGTTTGGCGAGGGCAGGTTTAACTCCTCAATCACGGGAGGAAGAAACAGACACAGAGCGAGCTAGCAGCTAGCGCGAAAACGCCTCCCCCCAAACAACCTGGTTTTGCTCCAATTAGGACGACGTTTTATGGTCTAAGTTCCGGAACTGGGTCCAATCCCAGAAACCTGGTGAATCTCATGTTTTTTTTTCCCCGGCTTCCGAGTCCAGAGGTAGCCAGTGACTGGGACCATAGGACCCGGATTTCACCAGAAGTACCTTCCACCTCTGCTGGTCGGAGGACGCTGCGAGCGATCCAACACACCCGCGCCAGGAGCTGGCCGAGGAGCGGGAGAACGTCTTCCGCGTGAAGGCAAGGCCTCCGCGGCGGGCTGTGGGTACTGAGCCCCGGTTGGTACTGGGGGAGAGGAAGGTTTGGTGGATGGTTTTTCTGGATGCTTCACCTGGGTGGTGGTTTTCTGTACAAAAGGGTCATAATAGTTGGATGGCTGACAGTGGAACTGGTGGCAGGGTGAAAAAAAGCGAATTGCTGAAACATGTGTCAAATTGCTCGAAAGCGCTTCTTTGACTTAGATGAATCTATATACATCAAGCCATACTTATGGATGAGTATAGTAATTATGCATAATTATGCATATAGTATAACAGAGGATATTTCTATGCAAACAAACTGCCAACATGTCAGATGACTTCACTTCTTCCCTTCTTCCGTTCATGAAACCGTCACCCCATCTCCCCTCCTGTTTGGCACCCCCACCGCAGATTTCGGCACGCGCCGTTTCGAAACGACCGGCCACGACCGGCCACACCGTGCGACCCTACTTCTCCTCCTCGGCAGGCCGATGCGGAGGAGGAGCGAGAGAAGCTCTTGGAACGCATCCAGCAGTTGGCCGATGAACTCCAGCACGTCCGGGTTCCAACCCGAGACCGGAAGAAGAAACCGACGAGGAACGGCCGAGAGACGTTCACACTCACGCGGGCGGGATTGGTGTTCTTTTTGTGTGGTGTGGGATGGATTCCACTCGATTCCACATGGGATGGGATGGTGAACACTGAAGCCTGGTCGTTTCCTTTTTTTTTTGGGGGGGAAGAGGGTGGGATGGTAAACCCTTTTTTTTCTCCCCAGATGTATTTCTGGAAGGTCCGACCGTGGAGCGCGAGTCCGGACTGTTCGCCAGTTGGTGTGGTGTGTGGGACACCGGTGGGTTCTTTATGGTTTTTTCGAGAAAGGTGCAGTCGTGTTGGTCCAGAAATCTCTTGACCCTGGGAGTCAAAGACTATAAAAAGAATGGTCTTTAGGGGAACTGAAAGGGAACTTCCTTTGCTTCAGCCGGTCAAAATATAGTCTTTGGACTTCTAGGGTTGATTAGAGGATACTAGAGGGTCGTTTTGGGTGCTGAAGTGTTGGTGTTGGTATTTGCTGACCTCAGGTGTGAGGGGTGGTCATCCGGGATAGACTCGAATGACTAGAAAGACTAGATTGGAACCCAAAAAGTGAGACCTGGTTTTGCCTAGTACGGTGATGTCTTTTTATTTTCCTTTGGAGTAAATCCCCATAATTACATCTAGGGAATACACTCCCGGTTCTTCAAAGTGACCTTTTGATAACCTGGTTTGAGGTCACTTAAGCCTCCTAAGGGTCACTTAGGAACCTTCAAAAAGGTCACGAACTGAATAAGCTGGCTGGGGAATATATTTTGTTGTTTTTTGTCCCAGCCTTCCAGGGAGGCGGTCCTCCTGGTGTCCTTCCAAGAAGACCTCGTGGTGTCCTTCGACCGACCGGCAAAGGCCCTCACCACTGCCAAGCAGATGAAGGACCGAAGTTGGTTGGAGTTGTGGCGGCGAAAGCGGGTGCGCCACTGGTTGGAGCGGATTGGAAGGGAAAGACATATTCACAAAGCCCCCACCACTGGATCACTAAAAAGAGATCAACTAATATGGATGATGATACAGTGATGTGCGTTTTGATCGTTGCCTTTTTGGGCTTTGAAACCGCCTTTAGTGGTGAAGGGGCGCGGGTTGGTGGAAATGCTTGTTGTAGCTAACGGCGTACTTTGCGACCAAATAGGAATCTGTCTTTTCTTCGCATCGATGACAAGGCACGTGGCAACTGGAAGTGGGGGGGAAGTTTTGGAGGGGAGTTGAGTGGGGTTGTGATAGTGTTTGGCTTGTAAAACGTTCCACCCAGACGCTCATGGGCCCTCATATGGAGGGTCGGGCCCTCATATGGAGGGGTCTGGGGTCTCAAACCCCTAGGTTTTGAGGGACCAAGGGCTGTTTGGAGCGTCTGGGCAGAATTTGTGCAAGTTGTCCATGGTTTTGGCTCGTTCAATCGGATCATGAGACTTGGTGTTGAAGCTTTGATTTCTTTTTCGTGTGTGACGTTTGTGACGTTTGTGCCACGTTCCCTCTTCCATTTGATCCTGGACTTGGTGTCCTTTCTTCAGATCGTTAGACGCGTGGTACGACAGCATTCGACACTTGGCATTCGTTTCCTATCCAGACACTCCATGGGACTGCCATATATGCCTAAGCCACCCCAATACATGGAGTGGGTAGTGATCCGTTGTTTGCACTTCACGCTGGACTCCGCGGTCATTGGCCTTGGACTTGGTCGATCTATGTCGATCTGTTCTTCCTGCTCCTGTCTTCTTCGTTGCTCCTGCTGACAGTCGGACACTGGTGTTTGGAACACTTCCGCAGAACTCGTTCACATGTCTTACCGCCTTTAACATCGGAGTTGTTTGTGAAGCCTGTTAAGCCGTTCGTTGCTTGAAAGCAGCGGCCATCGAGCCGCTGGTTCCCTACACTCCTGGCGGGCAGAGCTCACCCCGCGCAGATGACCTGCGCTGGCTGCAGAGACACCTTCTGCTTCAACGATGAAAGGATATTTGGATCGCATGGATAACGGACTTCCGTCCCCACCGCAAGCACTCGACGGTCCATGGAGTACGCGTTTCAAAAGCTTCTGGTTTCTGATTGGATTGAATTGTCGGAAGTTAAGGGATCAGGACTCAATATCACGAAGTACAGCCAGCGATGAAGACCGGGTGATGGGTTCTGTGAGATCATGGATGTGGCGAGCAAACCAGAAAGATGATCTTTGGATGATGAGGTGAGCGTTTTCACCGTTTTACTGAAAACCACAGTTTTGAACACTTACAAACACCCAGGGTCATTAACCACGCCGTAGCCTTGTTGTATCCCGAGTCGAGCCTCGGCTCGCGGAACTGCAGTTGTTCGCAAAGTCCGTCCTGTGCCGGCGACTGGCAGAGCAGTCGTGGCTGTAACAAGGAGACTGCAAAACAAAGGCAAATAACCCAGACACTCCATGTATGCCATATGTGCCTACATTGACCCCTCAAACCACCCCAATGTAGGCATATATACCATACATGGAGTGTCTGGGTAACATCGGAAAGAGGTTTCAGTTGAACACACAACACACAGAGACAGCGTGAGGAGAGAGACACAAGTGAGTACATAATATGCGGCATATGCGGGTGTACCTCCAGAAAGACACACAATCCTGCATACCTCCAAGCTCCTCCAAACCGAGTTACAGTATATTCAGCGATCTTTTTGTAGCATAAA